TTTTAAATACAAACTACTTGTGTACTGCACTACAAGTTATTTGTTTTGTTTTTTTATATATTATTTAATAATGTAAGCTGCTAATGATAAATTGACCATTTAATTACAATTCGGAACGATCGTGGCTCAGTGATTAGCAAACTTGACTGTGGTTTAATTTGGTTTGAATTTTGTGCAAAGCTACGCGAGGGCTATCTGCGCTAGCCGTCCCTAATTTAGCAGTGTAAGACTAGAGGGAAGGTAGCTAGTCATCACCACTCACCGCCAACTCATGGGCTACTCTTTTACCAACGAATAGTGGGATTGACCGTACATTATAACGTCCCCACGGCTGAAAAGGCGATCATGTTTGGTAGGACAGGGATTCGAACCCACAATCCTCGGGTTGCGAATGAAGCGTCCTAGCCACCTGGCCATGTGGGGCCGAAGTTTTGTGGTACACGTTCCATTACCGTTAAAATAAAAGGAAAAAAATCCTGCTCCACACGTCAGGTTACGTTATAAGTGATGGTTAACTCACTATTCGGACAGACAAGAGTAGCTCAGGAGTAAGTGATGGATGAGATATATATATATATAATTCTGGAGTAGCCCTCTACAAAATTCAACAACAAACAATTAATTCTAATATTGTATATAAATTGATATGCAATAATTCGTGTGAAAAATTACAAGAAATTCAAAGATTGAGTAGAATATTTCAAGTTATTAACACTTTTAACCCTTCAATTACAGAGTTATTTTAATGCCATTCACTATCGGTGGAATCCGCACGTTTCAATATATTGAATAAATTTATATTTTTGTTTGTTACAACCCCTAGTGTAAAGAACTGGCCAAAATTGAGTGAAATCAATCGTTTTTATGTAAATTCTACATGGGGTTATAAGCAGTAATTACCAAGATTAATTGCAATATTAATAGGATTTTTATTTAAATTTTTTTATCTGATCCACATTTACTATGTATCTTGTAACCAACGAAGGCATAGATCCCAGTTTTATGTATGAATTGAAAAACATATTTTTAAAGTCGATGATGTATGTACCCCCCCCCCCCAGTAATTATATGGTTACAAAATAGCCATCTTGCCACAATTCTTTTTTATCTCGAAGTATTCTACATGTTCATCTTCGTATCATTCTCTAATTTCCCTGCCATATACGTGATTTTTCTTCTTTCTAACTTTCTTTTAGCCTTCCCTTGATTTACTCCAGCTGTCAAGAGTACCAATTAGATAAGGATAAATCCCATGAGTGGCAGTGGTTTGATGCTCAGTACTACGACAGTAGTTAAGCTGATAACAGAAGCGCCGCCTATCTCAATGAAATGAAGAATCAGCCAGTAATCACAAATCAATTAAGTATAATTCACTTGTAAAATTAAATAATTAAAAAACAGCCGTTTTGTTGTTTTGTTTTTAGCGAAAAGCTACACAATGGGTTAATTGCACTCTGTCCACCACGAGGAATCGAACTCCAGATTGTAGCATTTTAAGTGCAGAAACTTACTGCTAACCCACTAGGAGGCCTCCACACTGTAATTAATAACTCACAACTGGCTCCAACAATTAGAAAAATATATACAATAACTCACACAACTGGCTCCGACAATTAGAAGAAAAAATATATACAATAACTCACACAACTGGCTCCAACAATTAGAATAATAAAA